CAATGCCTAGCTTACTTCAACCGCATCAGTTTAAGCTGTTTTTTTAAATTGTAGGGTCAATGCCTAGCTTACTTCAACCGCATCAGTTTAAGCTGAAAAAGAAAACCCAAAACCTTTTTTGGTTTGAACAAATTGTTCGGTTTCGAAATTTTTTCGACCCTCTTAAGTGTGCCCCCAACCATAATAGTTTCTAGATCCGCCACTGCTATTGGAGGCATAGGGAACGCCGACGTTTTATCCACGACTTATTTTTCAACCCATCTCGTTTCCTTTTTTTTTAATTATTAACCTGGATATCCAATCCGTTATGTGAGCCGACTAATCCCAGGACGGCCACCTGCTTTGCAATAGCCCGGAGTCACTGCATTTGAATTTTCGTGATCACAAAAGGATTTTTATTCTTCCTTGGATTTAAACCTAGGACCTTCTGGTATTTTTGACTTTTTTTCCCAACGTCATAATCTTAAAGTGATTCATATTCAATTTCTAATATGTAATCATTAATTCAAATTAAACTGTTTTTAATAAATAATTTGGTGTTAGCCAATCTAAAGATTTTTACGGTATATTGTTTTTTTTTTAATTCAAGTTATTAGTAATTTATATTTGTCAAGTAATCAGGAAAATCTGCTAAAACACTTGGCACACATATCCCATGGTTGGCGAATAATTGAAGGCTTCAATCAATTAAAACCATGGGGATATGATGTATGTAGACCTTTATTCTATAGAGTCTGTTTTCGTGAATACGTCCAGGTTTCAGAAAAGTTTTGTGAAGGCTTTGTGATTCAAATATAAGCCTTAAATGTTACATGCATCGATCAGTGTTTGTTTGGTCGGGCTCTTTTATCTTGAGAAGTCATGAGAAATGGTAACTTACATAAACGATCATTGATTTAAGCAACTATTAAGAGTTTCTCTTGACGAATACCCTAAAAAAAAGAACTCCATTGTTCTTCTAAAAGCAAGAAGTCGGCATTCGCTCAGGTAGAACGACTCGTTCAAAACTGTTTGTTTCATGATTTTGGCTCTTGAGATTGCCTTTAGGATGGACAATTTAAGAGATCAATCAAATGGATGGTCGATCAATTCAACCCAATTCAGTTAACTATTAGATTCGATTGATGTTATCCATCGATTATTTAGATTGGATTTGTCCAACTTTTTGATTTAAAAAGCTAAGACCCGATATCCATATTGAAATCAACCAATTACTTGGGAGAGTTCAAATAAAAACTATAAATATTTTGAGACGTGATAAATCAATCTTAGTCATACAACATTCTTGATCAAAGGCTAATCATCGGTGACATTTTGTAGTTTAAATTAAGATTTGACGTAGTTCAATTTGAATTTTTAAAATTAAAAACAAATTATACTTCTTTTTTAAATGTAATTATTATTTTAATTAAAAATTATATAAAAATAAGCATTTTATTTTTTAATCTAATACCAATTTTGATTTTTTTTTTCTTCCGATTATAAGTGGGTTCATTTAATTCACTATTTATCAATAAATACATATTATATGAGTAATATTCATCAATACATTATACAAATTTCATTAGTATATATCATTCCCTTGGTCGATACATTCATTAATGAATATACACTATATGAAATTCAGTAATATATTATTTTATGTTAGAGGTCGTTTACTAAACGTTTGTTTGGTAAATGCTTACCGGATAAATTTCCTCATCGGATGAACATGACAAAGGCCAAGAATCTTACCGGCTAATAGCGATGAGAAAGATGTATAGTCTTACCCGGTAAGTGAAGATGACGACTCTCACCCAGGTAAGTGCTTACCCGGTAAATTGTTACATTCGATACGTTTTGAAATACTAAAATCTTACGCATCAAGGTAAATTATAGTGTTGGCTCCTATAGATAAGCACTTACCGGGTAAACAATCCCTTAATTAATGTATATTATATTTCATGCCGTTTTATATGTCAATGAATATATCCATAGAACCTATTAGTATACAAAATTCCATCAATATATCATATTATACAAGTAAATATATGAATATACACTATATAAAATTCATCAATATATTACTTTATGTGAATATATATACATAATCTAAGTTAAATTATATTATATTATATTATTCATCTTATATATTTATCAATGAATATACACAGTTAGCTGACCAACACGATTAACCATCCTTCCAAAGCTTCCAGCCTTCCACTATCCATTGATAATCCAACTGGTTTGTATGGAACAGTCTCAAATTCTTGGTATCTCCAAAAGTTGTTTCCATAGGCTGCAAGTGAACAATTAACAATCATCATGTGCAATTTTGAAGTTACTTTAAATTCATTATTTGCTCAGATCAAGTGAAAAAGAAAAGGGTTAAAGGAAAGAACAAAGAACCAACAATGACTGTTAATTGTATTATACCATTTCAGTTGTATTCGAATTTAAACTATCATCTAACACTGACGACTCCAATTTGGATATTGGAACATAACATATCCATTTACAATTGGATATCCAATCTTGATCGATTGGTTGTAACTAGATCAGATGACTTTCTGTACACCTGAGTATGTCAGGATCATTATAGATGTACACATGAAAGGTTTTCACAAGTAAAGTATGTTGATATTTTTTTTGATTAACCTGGATATCCAACCCGCTATGCGAGCCGACTAATCTCAGGGCGACCACCTGCTTTGCAGATAGCCCGGAATCACCGCATTTGAATCTCCGTGGCCACAAGAGGATTTTTATTCCTCCTTGGATTTGAACCTGAGACCTCCTGGTACTTTTGACCTTTGCAGCCAAGCTCAAACCAATCAGGCACCACCCTTGTGGTTAAGTATGTTGATATTTATAACCGAGTAAGAATCTCTTGGCATACTGAATTTGCATTCTAAAACAATATCGGCTTCCAACAAAATTACAAAATCACGTTCTCATCATGGTGTAGAAATCAACACTCCCTTTTAATCCAAAATTTCGGCATTTCTTCAACAACTAAATTTGCAAGGGGAAATTATGAGTTCTCACTAAATAAACCAATCAAACCCAGTATATCTCACTCGAATGTATGATTTAAGGATAAGATGTATGTAGATCTTAAATCTGTCTCACGAGACAGATAGGTTGTTTCCGAGAAGACCCCAACATGAGTTATCATTTATAGATCCATCTAATGAGACAAAATGGTTCGTCATTGAACCCTTGACAGTGTCAAAAGGCCAAAGTTTAAGTTGTTCAGCCAAAACAAAGACTCGTTTGAAAACTTCATCTTTCTTTTATTTGATTAGCTGAAGAACAGTTCAATGATTCCTTTGTCGGCTAGAACAGATAAGAACTATCCATTCTATATCTGTTGTGGTTTATAATTCTGTCCAGGCTCATGTTTGTTTGCATCTAAATTAATACAATATTCATTGGCATCTAAATCGTCCAACAGTTTATTAGAAAAGCTTCCTCACAAATTCAGAAGTTCCATTCAATGATGCCATGTCGCTTTGCAATCGCCTACACTTCAACCATCGATTTTAACCATCTTTTTTGGTTCTTTATGCTTCTAAAAGAACTCTTATTTATATAATCACAATGTCCGATCTTGATCGACTAGTCCTTGTAGTAAATTGGTATGACCTAAACAGATTTGAACTTGAATCTTCTACTCAATAATAAAAAGTACTCAAATTGTTTTGTCAACTTGATCATCTATTGAGATTTCTTATTTGTTTTTGGTTTGTTATATAGTCTTTGTCTTTATCGGGTCTTACATTTACTAGAGTTCAAGTTATTGATAAACAATATTAAATTCATCATTCTAGTTTAATAAATAGTGTTTGTATATGATTGTTTTCTTTCTTGTTATGGTCTTGTATGGTTGATCTATATGGCTGACCTGGGCTGGCAATAACTCAAATGCCAATCCACCCAAGCCTATTACTTGGCCAACTTGCTCTTAATTGGGGATGCCAGTGCAGTAGCTATGTAGAGTGAGAAAATTGGTCTTGCATACTTGGACCATTTCTCACTCTAGTGGGCTTCCACGTATTCTAATATGGTACCAGAGTCAAAATCTATCACTGCAGGGACTCCGTTAATCTGTACTCATCTAGCCCCTCTCTTTGGCCCGTCTAGTCTCCGCTAGAGGGGTGTGAGAGCTAAAAGCTTAAATTTGGAACATTTCTCCTTAATATAGGTTGGAACATCCCTTTCTCTCCTAAAAGAGCTCTTGTAGAGAGTAATCAAATGGAGTTCGAAATATTCTCAGGGACGTCAAGACAGTAAGATGGGTGCAAGATAAGAAATTAAGAATAGTCAAGAGTTTGTAGGTATGCAAAGAGCCTCAGATCCTACTCCATATGGGTTTTTTTATGGAAGGGTGTCTGAGGCTGCTATGCCTGGACTAATCTCCATATGGGCTTTACTGTGTTCGTTTGTTTGGTTTTATGCAAGGAGCCAAGGACTGTCTATGGTTAGGCAACCTGTTTCTAATACTTGCAAACGGGGATCATGTTGAGAGATAAATGTTGGTTCTTGCCCTTGTAGATATTACTAGTAAATGATAAGAGGGATGTATGCTTTATTATACAACTTATTTATATAATTAAATTTATAAGATTATAAAAGAATGAGATTGACAAATTTACTTGATGTTAAAAGCTGTCAGGAAAAGCTACAAAATCATCATCATCATCATCATTGCTGTCATCGGAGTTGGAACTCTCTACTTGTTCTCTTTGGCCTGTGATTGTTCTTCCCTCCGGTGGTGGAACTGGTTGACTGCTATTGTTCACCAAATGCTTTGCTGATTCATGGAAAGGGAACAAAAATATACAGGTAAACTACACCATGAATGGCTTATGAGGCGAATGAATTAGAACTTGAATGCAGAAAAAGCTCTAAAGTTGATACCTGATATCAAGATCTTCATGACAATTGTCTTCATGAACTGAAATTCTCCTTGGTGAGCACTAACGAATTTACCCTGAAAGGTGTAGTAATCCATTAGATCACACAAACATGTCGTAGTGACTCAACTGGCAAGTCCTTGTGTTTGCTCCCTAATTGTCACCGGTTTAAGTCTCCTCAGAGCCACAACTTCAGGGCCTCATGCATAAACTGGTTTAGGCACCCACGGTTGCTTAAAAATAACATATTGTAGCTACAAACAATTTGTTTACTCATTAGATGTAAATGAATTATTTGAAAATATTATTGTAATTTAAAATATAGATTAATGCATACAAATTGTTGGACTCCCACACTCGCTAGACTTGGACCATATCTACTCCATGTATGTTGGAACTTTGTGTAGAAATGTAGGGACCAAATAGGATTCACTAAACTCTAGTCATATGCATAGATACGTGAATTTAAAAGGATCCAGTTTAAAGGATCCATCACTTTGGACCAACTATGTAGGTTCATCTGAGTTTCTTGAACCAAAAATTTGAGCCTTAGAAACAACCAAGACTTGAAGCTTTAACTGAGAACCATGGTTGATATACGTCGATCATTATAGTCATAAAAGTTACCCCCCACTTAAATCGAACTTGATAATGAGTGGGTCTCAAACACCGAAATTGTTCGGAGATGGTGAGATTTATGTTGAGTTAAGGTCAAATATCGAACACTTGATTCCTCACCTAGAACCATGCGAGATGTGAAGTTGAAGATTGTTGTGCACGATAGCACCAAGACGGAAGTCCGAGGGCGATGGTGCAAGGCTCAATATTACCACTAAAGGGCTTTTTGGTATTTTCCTTTTTATAGTTTGTTAGGTTCTGTTTTATTGTAGTATAAATACTCTTCTTCTCTGTTAATCAAGATACTTTTGCTTTCCCAATTTCTACTTTTGTAATACTCAACAAATGCAGTTTTAAGGAATATAAATTGAAGGAACAATTCGGAGAAGAGATGACTTATTTTTTAAATTGATGAGTACAAGATAAAGTCCTGAAACATCAAAAGTTTGAACCCATGGACAACGTAATCGTGCATAAGGTTCCTGTGTCATGCATAAAAACTGTAATTAAGAGATTTTTTAATTTTATGCTTTAACAAATAGTATTTTGTGCATAGTATGTTGTAACTTGTAATTTAGGGTTTTGATTCAAATGGTTTATAAGATAGTGTGTGTGTGTGTATCAAGACTCAGTTGTGGATGCAAGTTTTTGTATTTACTTACTTTTGTTTTCCATATATTCTTGACAGCTGGAAAGTATACTGGCAGGTGAATTTTTTTATTTTTATAAAATCCGAGTATCCAACCTATAAAGATGTAAATGACAGGCACCAAGTTTCAAGCATTTAAACAAGGAAAGAGGCTTTACCGTTTCGCTGTACAAGATCCCCACAAGTTGATCGAGGTTAGCTTGATGTCTCAGAAGGAAAGGACGTAAATGACTCATGTATAACTGTTTAGCACCCTGTAGAACGACAAAAGACTTGAACATAATTAGGACCCAAATAACTGAGATGTAGATTGTACAGATAGACTAAAATAATAGAGAAAAAAATTTGAAAAGAAAATGTTGGTCATCCTAGAGCTAGAGAAAAAAAATGAATTTTGAACCTCAAACCAGGCTCTCTGTATTTACCATCTTTACGAGAGAAAAAAACTTGCTTACATTGGTAGTTGGAAGCTGAAGCCAAACAAGAAAAGCAAACTTCATGTGATGATAAAGTGGAAACCTGAGAAATTACCGATTAGATGTATGCCAACCCGTCTGCTCAAACAGTCAGCTATAAACCAAAAATGTTAGAAATGATACCAGTATATGATTCTGTCTGCAAATATTTCTGCAACGCTAAAAGTCCCATATGCTGTAGACAATTAGTTTCATTATTAGAGACAAAAAAAAGGCATTGTTATATGATGTACCCTCTTTATGTCAAATCAAGGCTTTGGACATGTAAAAAGTAAAAAACTTGACATTGATGTGTTTGGACTTTGGGGAGGAAAATAGTAGGGGCGTCAAATAGCACATAGGGAGGGTGCATTTGAATCGGGGGAGTGTTAATGACGCCTCCTTAACAAGGGTGTGAAATTTTTTTAAAATTTAAACCATGATTAAAAGTCAATATAATTCTTTATATTATATATTTTATATAAAAAATATTTTATCATTATTATTTTTATTTTATATATAACACAGACATGTATATATATATATTATCAAAAATATAGTTTTTATGAAAAACCAATGAATGTTAATATTTTTTAAAAATTGTTGATACGAAAAAAATTATTTT